TTGATTCCAAGTTCTCTGAACTATTAGCTGCACGAAGTGGACTTTTTCTGTCTTGAGAGAGAGTTGCATTACCTAATGATTTAGGAAAGTGACCCCGAGGCAAGCTAAGTTGTTCTGTAGAACATTTTCTGTTCTCAAGTTTTCTTTTTTTACTTTCTGAAACAGTTGACTCTTCTGAGGAACCCAAGGTCGTATCTTCATCTCCAAAAGGTGTTAATTCATTTTCCATATGATCTTCTATAGTGAAATTAAATTGAAAAGTCATTTTCTCCTTAATATACTCCCTCTTCAAATTTAAGAGCAGATCCTTCATCTACTGGTTGAATTTGATGACACACATAAACTTGCCTCAATTACTTAATTAGATTTGTTGGGGTCAATGTCTCATTGGATACTTATATGTTGATACAAATATTTAGAGATGATGCCAAATGTCCATTTAAAGATCTTTTTTTCCACTTTTGTTCTGAAGAAAAAAAGAAAGACATTATTAATATCAAATATGACCTTTCTCTAGACCATAACATTTAAATCTTCCATATAGCTACCTTCTCAGTAAAAACTGAGGGCACAGAGAGAAGGAAATTTTAAAAACAAACAAAATAGCAGCAAAAACCATTACCATAACAGAAAAAGTCCAAGGTTTTGAGAGAAAACATCAAACCTAGCTATTTGAAGTCTTTTAGGTGTCTTGACTTCCCCTAAACATACTCCAAAACCCAAAACCTATGCCATAGAGCCAATTCTGACTCAAAGTGTCCATAAATTTAGTCACCCCTTGCTGTTGTTATGTGCCATCAAGTCAGGTATGCCTCACAGTCACCTTGTGAGCAATGATTCTGAACTCTGCCCTATTCTATGTCATCTTCATCTTTTCCACTACACTTGAGCACATTGTTACAGTCACTGTGTCAATCCATCTCACTGAGAGACTTTACCACCAGAATTTATTTCTTTCAATTACTGTCTCAAATAAATGAATCACGTCTTCAATTTAGTAACAGAGCATTTCTTTCAAAGCTTAGAAAGAAAAGGTATGTCTTGAGGTGCCTATAGTCACACAAATGACTTATACTGAAGCTATGCGCATGGGTAAATCCTGAAGTCATTTGTGAGATTAAATTGGTAGTAGAAAGCCCAGTCCAGTGCAATGTATGCCACTCATGGCTACCTCGTGTGTTAAAGAGCAGAAATGAACTCTACAGGGTTTTTCTTGCCTATAATCTTTATCAAAGTAAATTAACATCTCTTTCTTCCATGGTACCACTAGGTGAGTTCAAACTGCTAATCTTTCAGTTAGCAGTCTAGCACAAACCATTTTCACCACCCAACAGCTTATTCTGGAGAGGCCTTGAGAATCTCTGTAACTAACTGTCCATTGCTAAACAAATTTTCAATTTTCACAATTTTGGCACATGGGATGTCTAATCCCATCACATATCTAGGTAGTCCCATTACACACTGAGGCGAGTAGGTAATTGCCTTGTCTCCTGATCTCACTGCATCAGAGCGCTTGGATTAATTTTTGCCTATAAATCTCAAATTAGATACAAAAGTTGATCCAAGCCTTTGAACTGTGGTGGTATTGGAGAAGACTACTATATATCCCATCGACTGCCTAAAACAATGAAACAGATACGTCTTGGGAGAAGTTGCAACCAGAGGGCTCTTTGGAAACAAAGATGATTAAGCTTCATCTCACATACTTTGGGCATGTTGCTAGGAGAGAGACATCATTCTTGGAAAGGCCTGTGAAAGAAACGCAGACCTTCAACAACCACAAGTATCAACACAGTGACGGTAGCAATGGGCTTGAGTGTGTCAGAAATTGTGAAGTTGGCACAAGACAGGACAGTGTTCATCTGTTGTTCATAGGGTCATGGCACCTAATGACAACAAACCAATAAGGAAGATCATGATAAATGGAGAAAGGATTAAAACTGTCAAGGAATTAATTTTCCTACAATCTATAATCAACAATCTATGATTAACACCCATGAAAATAGCAGTCAAGAAACCAAACGATGCATTCTAATGAGAAAATATGTTTTGGAAAACTGCTTTGAAGTGTTAAAGAGCAGGGACGTAAATTTAAAAATTAAGGTATGAAAAAAAAATAAAAAAAAAATTAAGGTATGCTTTTAAATACTATCTCTCCTTGCCATATAGTCAGAGCCAACCACATAGCTGACACTACAGCTAATCCGTCTTTCTCCCTGGGCCAGTGGTCGATTCAGATTTCTAAAGGTAAGGCCTTTGGGTCAGCAGTACAGCTTCAGAGAGACCAGATGATGACATTCATTAAAGACTAAGATATTAGGAGATGAAATCAGTCAAGTGGGGAAATGACAGCCTTTTTAACAAATGGTGTTGGAAAAATTGGAAAAATATCTGCAGAAGACTTAAACAAGATCCACACCTCACTCACTCCATATACAAAACCCAACTCAAGACGGATCATGGACCTAGGACTAAAACCAAGGACTATAAACTTTATTAAAGAAAAGCTTGGAAGAACTCTAGTAGTCCTAATCCACAATATAAACAGTCTTCCAAGTATCCTGAAAAAAATCTACCACCAGGAGAAGATAAAATAGATGAATGGGACCTTCTAAGAATCAAATCCCTATGCACATCCAAAAACTTCTCCAACAGGGTAAAAAGGGAAGCCACAGACTGGGAAATGACATGTCAGATAAGGGATTTATATCCAGAATTTATAAAATACTTGAGCACCACAACAAGATAAAGGCAAATAATCCAACTGAAAAATGGGCACAGGATATGAACAGACACTTCATCAAAGAAGACATTCAGATGGCTAACAAGCACATGAAGAAATGTTCAAAATCCCTAGCTCTAAGAGAGATGCTAATCAAAACAACTACGAGATATCATCTTATCCCAGTAAGAGTAACAAAATTTAACAGAACAGCAAGCAACAAATGCTGGTGAGGTAGTGGAGAAACTGGAACCCTTATTCTCTGTTGGTGGAAGTGTAAAATGGTGCAACCACTGTGGAAGACTGTGTGGCGCTTTCTCAAAAAGTTACAAATAGAGATACCATTTGACCCAGCAATTCCACTACTGGGAATATACCCCAAAGAGACCATAACTGCCACCCAAGCAGATATATGCACACCCATGTTTATCGAGGCTTTGTTCACAATGGCAAGGAGTTGGAAACAACCTAAGTGCCCATCAACAAACAAATGGATAGAGAAGCTGTGGTAGATTCACACAATAGAATACTACGCTGCATTGAAAAACAAGACACTCATGCAATATTATTCAAAATGGGTGACCCTGGAGGACATTATGCTAAGTAAAATATCTCAGTCACAAAAACAAATACTGCATAGTGCCACTGTTGTAGAATGGGACTGACATCAGGGTTGGGGTAAGACTGAGAAAAACTGGATAAATAATGTATAAATTATATACTGCATTGAAACAGATGAGGGAGATAACAATTTAAAAGTGCTATATGATAATTACGGTTATCACAAGAGTCCAGAATGAAGGTTGCATAGTGGAGTGTAGGGGGCGGGGGGAGCGGGTGGTAGATTTGTATACCAATGAAAGAGTTTTACTTTTCAAAAAGAGCGAACTGGGGGGAAGGGTGGGCAGGGAGAAAAGTGTAACAATGAATGAATGGAAATCCAAAAATCTCTGTAAATGCTCATTAAAATTAATAAACTTTTTTTAAAAAGACTGGCATTTTCAACTATTTCATCTGCATATGAAACTTGGGCAATGAATCAAAGAATTGATTCCTCTGAATTATAGTGTTGGTTAATATTGAAAATACTATAGACTAAAACGGAGCTCTGGTGGCTTTGCAGTGAAGGAACTGCACTGTCAATGCAAAGGTTCATGGTTCGAATCTACCAGGTGCTCCAGAGGTCAAAGATGGACAATCTCATCCCATGCTAGTTAACTGGTTGGGTTTCAAAATGGTACAGAAGAACAACAAGACTACCAGTCAGACTAAAAAAATCAGTTATAACTCAAGAGTACATACCACCACCACAGAAACAAATGTGTCTTGGGCAAAGTGCAGTCAGAATGCTCTTCAGAAGAAAGGATGGCGAGACTTTTCTCACATACTTTGGGTATGTTATCAGGAGATGCCAGTAATTCCTGGAGAAGTGGGCTACGTTGAAAGTTTACAGCAAGCCAGGTCGGGTAATGCTGGCTGATGAAGGCACCAAACGCCACACGGAGAAGTCCCTGAAAGTGTGCACCAATGAGCTGAGTCCTTCCGGGGCTAGACAGGCCCTTGTTTAATGCCCAGAATAGGGGTGGAGAATACTGCATTCTATTTCCTTAAAGATTACATCCTTAAAACCCTAGGGGGTAGTTCTACTCTGTTTTGGAGGGTTGGGGAAAATAGATCCCCAAAAAAACGACTTTGCCACGTTTCACTTGAGCGAGGCCTCACGGAGGAACCCAGCAGCCTTCCTCTCTATGGTTTCTGCCGGGACCGTGAGCGTTTCCGGTCCGAGCTGGGGCGGGAGTGGTTTGAAGCTGTTTTCCTGGACTAGAGGATGGCTCAGGATCGCGCCACTCCAGCGAGCACCGTTTCCCTGGAAGAATTAAGTAGCTGGCCGGAGGAGCTATGTCGCCGGGAGCTATCGTCCATCCTACCCCGGCTCCTCATATCCTTGGCTACCTTTTCTGTCTGGAGAAGGGTGTATAGAACGTTGTCCGCGTGCTTTTCTCTGTTCCCCAGGATCCTGTCGATGCTCTTGCGATGAGTGTCCTCCCCTCTCCGTGACCTTGAGCGGTATGGGCTAGCGAGGGATAGGGAGGCGAGCTAGGGCTGACTGTAGGTGCTAAGCTCGCGGACATGCCTGGCTTTAGCACTGGAGACCGCCCTGAAGTACCGTGTTGGCAAGTGAGCGTCCTGTTTTCTTCTATTCATTCCTGTATTCTCGTAAGTTCTGCCCACTTAGTGTGCAATGAAGTATAAATAGGATTGCATTTGGAGACTGGAAGAGACAGAGACTCAGATTTGAGCTGTAAAACCAGCTCTGGTAGAGCAAAAAAAGACAATACGGCTTTTCTTATGTTTAAAATGGATGTTAAATGCAAAAATTAATACCTTAGTATGTTAAATGAGGAAAATAGGTCTAGCATAGTGCTAACCTTGTAAAAGTTTCTTTTTGGGTTTTGGCTTTTCATTGGCTGCTAGGGTTCAGTGGTTTACTTACTGTAATGCCCAGATGTAGAGTAGCTTCATGCCTTTGTGGTGGTAAATGCTCCTGGAGTCCTAGCCCTTCATGTATGAGTTGATGGGGGTGTGGGATTTGAGGGAAATTGGAAGAATCTGGTGTGATAAACAATGTATTCGAGGTTTGTAAATAAACTAGTATAATAAATTCCTTTAAAAAATATACACCCCAAAGAAGAAATGGCCTATGGGAGGGATTCTCTGCACGGTGCAGGTAATGTGATAAATTACATTCACCATTATTAATTACCATCATATAGGAGTCATTCACCCAGGCATTAGTAAAATCCCACTAGGTACCAAACCTTCTTTTTAAGTCATTGTGAAGATAGGGAAATAAGTAAAATACCATACCTGCCCTTGGAAGCTTTGATTTGGAAAACAAATGTTTCTAATAAAAAAAAGACAAAAAACCAACACGAAAGCGTTTAGTGATGCAGTATGATGTGCCAGATAGAAGCACTTCACTGATAACCCAAAGATTGCTAGTTCAAACCTATCAGCTGCTCCTCAGTTGATTCTTTTTTTTTTT